GATAAGGGTACAAAGGAGTTTATTAAAACCACAAGCCATGTTCGCGACTGAAGTTCCTGAGCCATTCTGAGTCCCTTCCAGGGCTGGAAGAAAAAGACCCCTCTTTTAGGAGTTGGGAAAGAAGCCAGATTCAAAGTTTCTGTGGCAGGAACTGACCTATGGGCACAGGAAGTGGAGCCACCAAGTTAGCAAACATGTTTTTAAGTTTAGGTGTTGGGAACTTTGCCCTTGAATCTTTTCCCTTAGGCCCAGACACTCTTACCAGGCTTGTATTTCCCCCGTCTGTTATCCAGCTGGTCACCGATTTTTACAGTGTGTGAGCAATGCTTGAGTAACACTGGGATGGCAGAGATTTCCCATTTGGCCTTTGGAAGTTTTTGTATTTACTATACATTTGGTTTTGACATTCTGGGCACACCCAGTTCTTAGATAGATGGTTACACAGAGCAAGTCCTGTTATAAAGAGCCAATTCGGAAGGAACCTCTCTAGTTGGTGCCACTATTCATCTCCTCCCTTCCCTATGCCATCCCTCAGCCTAACTTTTGGCATATGAATGGCCTCCCTCTTGAACTCCAGTATAGGATGGCTATGCCTTCGTTAAGATAGGGGAGGTCGTTTATATTTTTGAAATTAAAGAAAGAGAACTGAAAATATCCTCTCAAGTCCTGCCTGGGTTTAATTTATAGTAGGACTAAAACAGTGACAACATCAGCAGAGGAGTTACTTATATAGAAGGGGAAGTTTTGGTCATGGGGTTTCTAAAAGTCATATTTATAGGTAATCTGAAGAAATTGAGCCTGGACTGAGTTTAGTTTTGTGATACAAGTGGATGCTTCAGATATGCAACTGTGGTGCTTTTAGCACATGTGTGGAAAGCTGGTCCTGACATGTGCCCTCCTGGAAGACCTCGCCTGACCTTGTCTCTGGCCTCCTCCTCCTTAGAGCCCCCGTTGCCATCGGCGTGGCTGCCGCGTCCACGTCTGAGATGTTGACGTCAGGCCTGAGGGGGAAAGGCTTCTCTGTGCTGCACACCTACCAGGACCACTTGTGGTGGGTTCAGTGTTCTTTCTGTCTTACAGGAGGGCTGCATGGGTGGAGAGAGTGTGGGGCCTGGATTCACAAATGAGAGTTTTGGTCCCTACTAAGTCCTTAGGCAAGTTGCTGACCCCAAACATTGATTTCCTTGCAGAACATGGAGAAATGACTTTTTTTTTTTGCCTGTTTGGAGAAGAAATTTCAGAGAACTNTTTACTTTTCTGTAGCTGCTGACACCTACTTTGTCATTCGGGGCTTTTCTTTCTCCAACCTTGGTTGCAACAGTGCAATGCCTTCTCCTTAGGTCACTTCTAGCCCCCAGGCCCCCACACTTTGCTGCTGTACAGGCCCTTTTTGATTTAACGGTTTTATTGCTGCTAATCACTATGGAAACAGAGGGAGTAAAAATAATAAACATGGGAAAGTTTTAAAAGTATCTTACAGGCTGATATCGTGTTCTTAGGTTACTTGCTTCCGAGGTAATAAATGGCATCCTCATTGGGTCTGTGTCCTCATTTTTGTCCACTGTGGCTAATTTCTGCTACAATCCACGTGGAACAATAGGTGCCTCCACGTCTCAAGTGACGTCCAATTTCTTAAGTGTCTGCCTTCTTTAAAAATGAAACCCCTTTGGGCATCCCTTCACAACCTTCTCTCTAGCATTGAGTTGAATTTCTTTTCTAGATCCTAATTAAAGCAGTGTTAGTGTTTGGCTTTGCCCGTTCCACAGGGGATTGACATTTTGGCAGTAAGTATTTTCTGGGTCTCTTTTTTGGACAGTGTACACCCTGTGGTCCTATCCCGATCTTCTACCGACTTTCACAACATGGCCTCTGGTGCTCGAAAAACTGGTGGGGGGAGCAGGTAAGAGGATTTTCCTGTATTCTGGCTATTGGCTGAAACCTACTTAGGAAGGACCACT